AGAATACGCGGTCTTAAAATCCCCACAATGCTTTGCGCACGGAAAAATGTCCCCAAATCTGTGGCGGAAAATGTAAGGTGGGGCCTCTCATATGACACACACCTGCACACTTGTTCGCCTGTTCCACTCTTCGTTTTCCGAATGCCAGGAAGTATTCTTGCCTCGCTTCTGAAGCAAGTGACTCGGAAGACATGTGCTACCAAGTAAGCGTACTCGACATTGAGAAACACCCTGAGTCTATTAACCTAGTTGTTTTTATACCTTGTCCTGCAGAATATACAGCCTCTATCTGCAGGAGCAAGAGGCTCAGTTGTTTCCAACGCTGGCACTAATCTGCGTCCCCTCAGAGACCGCCTGTGTTCTCGACCTATTAAAAACGGCCACAGCGGTGTCATGGTCGTTACAGCGAACACAATTAGAGGAGCCGTTAACAATGGGAATTAATTTGCTGTCATGCCCTCCTTGTATTGTCTACTGTTGCTGTCAAAGACCCCCCAACCTTCCTTTAAAGCTCATCTTGCTTTTTCTTTCTCAGTCTTTACAGAGCGGTACAATAAGAGACCTTTAGAGTCTGCTTATCCAAGAAATTCTAACTTTTCAAAGGACCTTTTGTATCTTGCAATAAACTGTTGCAGAAAGAACAGATTGAAGTCATCTTTAAGTGAACCAGCCTTCTTGAAAGACGTATACAAGAAGACATACATCTCCTCTTTTCCCGGAGGACAAACAGAAAGAAAAGCAGAGGGTGAGGAGGGCAGAGAGTTTGCCTACATGTCAGAAGATGGAAAGGCAACAGGGGGGCGATAAGTGATCCAGGGGTGGTTACTGCTGAGTTCACTGTACAGGCCTTACATTCTCATTTAATGTCTGAACTCTCTTCTCTCCATCCTTCCCTGTGTTTTTAGTCCATGGATAAGGACACGGCATATGGAAGCTGCTAATTTTTTACTGGATACATCTTCTGACAGCAAGAGTAATTGAGCAAATAGCCCTCTTGCACACACCGTGCCTGCAGGACCCAGAGCAGGGGGAGGGGAGGGGGGGGGTGGGGAGTTGTAGAGAGGATGGATGGAAAATCAGTGTAAAAGGGGGCAGATGAGAGGAAGAGTGGGGGGAGGGGATGATGCTGGAGAATGAGATGGATTAAGGGAACGTGAGGAATGTGAGGCAGCGACCAGGTTGAAATATAGGATAGGACACACTGATGGAGGAGGAACGTGAAGCACTCAGGCCTTCTCACATGCACGTTAACATTTTATAACCTCTCTCTTTCTCCGCTACATTTCAGTCACCAGTTTGTTCCAGAAGAAAAGGGGAATGTCGATAATTTTGTTTGCAGCCACACAGCCAAACTACGGGGACATTTATTTAAAGAAAATTTGTTTTTGTTGATAGAAGTGCTCAAAATAACCTCTTCTTCATACTTCTTAAAGTGCAACCTTAAAATGTTTGTGAGTTGTATGGTAAACATGCTGGAGGGGAGGAATTGATTCATTGTTTAAGTGGTTTATCAAGCAAAACCCTCTGGTTCCAGCTCCCTGAATGTAAAGATTTGCTGTTTTTCATTATAATATATCATAGTAAACTGAATATATTTGACCATATTCCAACATTTAATTGACAACATGATTGATCAGCAAATCCTAAAGACAGGCAGCCCTGTAGCCAAATGTACTTAGTTTTATTATTCAAGGGAACAAACTTTACAGAAACATTTTTTAAACCATTTCTGTCCGTGGTGTGTGTCTCTTTGTTTATCTCCATGGTGATAACACACTGTCTCTACTTCTGTCTTTATATAATTAAACTGAGCAAAGACAGACAGCAATCCAAAGCACAACAGTGCACATTTAATGGTCTTTCCCTTCATCTGAATTTGTAATCATTCTATGTACAAACTCCATCTGTCGAGACACTGTTCATATTTTAGTTTTAAGGCTACACACACATTGCACTTTACATTGATATTATGTGACCAGTTGTAACCCTTTATCTTGAGAACAAACATATATATGTACGCAATAGGGTTCATGAACATCCTTTCTGTGTTCTTATCCCAATGAAGACATTATTTGTTCTTCTAACTCTCTTAACTGCACACACTTTCCACCTACTAAATGCCACCCTTTCATGAGGAGGTGATAATTGTGTTTGGTTTTTTATAGGCATAATCAACACCCCTAAACCCCATTTACGGCTACCTGTTCTGCTTGGTTTGTGGGCCTAATACATAGAGAATAATTTTATCAATGAGTAAAAACAACAACTTTCAAACTGCACAGCATGTTAAAACCAAACAAGTGAGCAGTGACTACAGAGCTGTAATGAGATCTGAACACATTTGAAACTATTATAGTATCAAATCATGCCTTAAAAACAAGTTAAATCTTAATGTACACCCACTTGTATTCATATTCTACAATGCCCTGAGTTCAGAACAAATCTGGCGATCATCAATGGCAGCGGTGACTAGAGAATGTAATTGAGTGGTCTTGCCGACATTGGAGCATCGTTGATCTTTGACATGATGGTTAAAATATATCTGGCTGTACTTACATTCATTTATACGGCTGTACTGTAAATCTGGCACCAAAGAGGTCCATGGCTCAAATCCAGGCAGCCATTATCTTCTGTTTGCCAAACTAACCGACACTGGGCTGACAAAAACACAAGGGCTAATGCAAGAATGAGTCAGAAGACAGACTATTGACAGGCAGCCCTGTAGCCAAATGTACTTAGTTTTATTATTCAAGGGAACAAACTTTACAGAACATTTTTTGAACCATTTCTGTCCGTGGTGTGTGTCTCTTTGTTTATCTCCATGGTGATAACACACTGTCTCTACTTCTGTCTTTATATAATTAAACTGAGCAAAGACAGACAGCAATCCAAAGCACAACAGTGCACATTTAATGGTCTTTCACTTCATCTGAATTTGTAATCATTCTATGTACAAACTCCATCTGTCGAGACACTGTTCATATTTTAGTTTTAAGGCTACACACACATTGCACTTTACATTGATATTATGTGACCAGTTGTAACCCTTTATCTTGAGAAACAAACATATATATGTACGCAATAGGGTTCATGAACATCCTTTCTGTGTTCTTATCCCAATGAAGACATTATTTGTTCTTCTAACTCTCTTAACTGCACACACTTTCCACCTACTAAATGCCACCCTTTCATGAGGAGGTGATAATTGTGTTTGGTTTTTTATAGGCATAATCAACACCCCTAAACCCCATTTACGGCTACCTGTTCTGCTTGGTTTGTGGGCCTAATACATAGAGAATAATTTTATCAATGAGTAAAAACAACAACTTTCAAACTGCACAGCATGTTAAAACCAAACAAGTGAGCAGTGACTACAGAGCTGTAATGAGATCTGAACACATTTGAAACTATTATAGTATCAAATCATGCCTTAAAAACAAGTTAAATCTTAATGTACACCCACTTGTATTCATATTCTACAATGCCCTGAGTTCAGAACAAATCTGGCAATCATCAATGGCAGCGGTGACTAGAGAATGTAATTGAGTGGTCTTGCCGACATTGGAGCATCGTTGATCTTTGACATGATGGTTAAAATATATCTGGCTGTACTTACATTCATTTATACGGCTGTACTGTAAATCTGGCACCAAAGAGGTCCATGGCTCAAATCCAGGCAGCCATTATCTTCTGTTTGCCAAACTAACCGACACTGGGCTGACAAAAACACAAGGGCTAATGCAAGAATGAGTCAGAAGACAGACTATTGACAGGCAGCCCTGTAGCCAAATGTACTTAGTTTTATTATTCAAGGGAACAAACTTTACAGAAACATTTTTTGAACCATTTCTGTCCGTGGTGTGTGTCTCTTTGTTTATCTCCATGGTGATAACACACTGTCTCTACTTCTGTCTTTATATAATTAAACTGAGCAAATACAGACAGCAATCCAAAGCACAACAGTGCACATTTAATGGTCTTTCACTTCATCTGAATTTGTAATCATTCTATGTACAAACTCCATCTGTCGAGACACTGTTCATATTTTAGTTTTAAGGCTACACACACATTGCACTTTACATTGATATTATGTGACCAGTTGTAACCCTTTATCTTGAGAACAAACATATATATGTACGCAATAGGGTTCATGAACATCCTTTCTGTGTTCTTATCCCAATGAAGACATTATTTGTTCTTCTAACTCTCTTAACTGCACACACTTTCCACCTACTAAATGCCACCCTTTCATGAGGAGGTGATAATTGTGTTTGGTTTTTTATAGGCATAATCAACACCCCTAAACCCCATTTACGGCTACCTGTTCTGCTTGGTTTGTGGGCCTAATACATAGAGAATAATTTTATCAATGAGTAAAAACAACAACTTTCAAACTGCACAGCATGTTAAAAACCAAACAAAGTGAGCAGTGACTACAGAGCTGTAATGAGATCTGAACACATTTGAAACTATTATAGTATCAAATCATGCCTTAAAAACAAGTTAAATCTTAATGTACACCCACTTGTATTCATATTCTACAATGCCCTGAGTTCAGAACAAATCTGGCGATCATCAATGGCAGCGGTGACTAGAGAATGTAATTGAGTGGTCTTGCCGACATTGGAGCATCGTTGATCTTTGACATGATGGTTAAAATATATCTGGCTGTACTTACATTCATTTATACGGCTGTACTGTAAATCTGGCACCAAAGAGGTCCATGGCTCAAATCCAGGCAGCCATTATCTTCTGTTTGCCAAACTAACCGACACTGGGCTGACAAAAACACAAGGGCTAATGCAAGAATGAGTCAGAAGACAGACTATTGGTCAAACCAGCTACAGCCAGGAGGCACAGTGAATGCTGACTGTGGAGTAAAATCAACTGCACCCAATTCTAGTTGATCCCAAGGGATGGAATTTAAAATATGACTTGAAGAATGAAGAACAGATCATGACTTTACGTTGTTTTAATATTTTCTATCTCTTTTCCCGCAGCAACCAAACAGTGCTTCACCAGTTCTGCTGTCCCGCCCCCGAGGCCCATGAGGGGGAGACCTCTACTGCCTGTGTCCCCAGGTAAGACCTCCGCATCCTTTAAACACCTGCACAAATATTAAGTTGTTTACTTATATTATTATTTATTATTTATTTCCTTTTGAACAGTTTAATTTGTATTGTTTGTACATTGTAATTGCAGCCACTTGCCATGCATCCTGTTAGTAGCGGTGCGGCCGTAGTTCCTTTAGGCAACACAACTACCCCAGCAGAGGTTTCTGTACCTTGAAGTGGTTGTAAATGCTTCAGGTCACTTTCAGGGACAATCTGAATTCCTAACCTCCATGATCATTATAAGCCAATAAGAGGGAGACTGTTATATCAGCTTGGGTTTTGGGTCCGGTTGAGGCTGTGGGATTGTTTCCTGAGTGATTATGAGACCGTTATTTCCACAGAGGTGTCAGATAAAGATAAATAAACTCAGCTGTAATATCCAAATCAATCACTTCCAGATCCCATTTCCTGGACAATGGTCAAGTCCTTGGTGAGTTATTGGAGTAATATTACATTGAGTTTAGTCAGCAAAGCAAGGCGATTATGTTGTTATCTCTTTATGTCAGATTGCCACATGACAGTGATGGAGCTGATGCTGGCCAATTGGAAATCAAACTGTGTACACTTGCATATGATTTCCAAGAAATAAGCTCCTGTAATACATCTAATATGCCTTTGTACCACATCTTTGTGAGTGTAAACATCTAGAGTTGAATTGGAAGTTCGTCAGGTATTAAAAGATTAGATTGGCAAGAACAAAAATAAATAATAATCGCCTTTGATAAGGTAGAAGCAGAATTGACCACACACAATTGTGTTTGCCTCCTGCTTGTATTTAATAATGGACCACCAGAGTTTCACTAATAATTATGGCATTCATCAGGCAGCAGTAGCAATTAAGCAACCCGTCCAATAATGGGTTTTTTTTTTTGTCGACCGCTACTCACGCATTGTATGAGCCTTTCAGAAAATAGCAGATTGGCGAACACATATTGATAGCAAATCATAGACCCTGCGGTGCTGGAAAGAATAAGTGGCAGAGCAAGAAGCAAACAAAATCACAATTTAAACCCCTCAGAGGGCTGTGCTGTGTCAGCCACATGGATAGACTGAAGGACACATACATGTCGGGTTGAATGGAGAGCAGAGAACTCTTTTTATTTGCTTTGTTTGCTTTTACCAGATCATTTCTCCGGTGTTGACTGACTCAAAACCCAAGTCTCTTACAGTATTTGTTGTCACAAAAGTCCCTTAATGCCTCTATGTAATACATTCATAGACAGTGGTAGAAGTTGAACAGGAGATACTCACATAAAGTCAAAGATGGAGGGGAAATTGAAAAACCAAAAGTCGTGAATCGATGGTCGTTCAGCAGCTTGCTCGATAAAAGCTGTTTGGTGCTGTTGTGCTTTGTGATTGCTTTGGGCATAGGGACCATTAGCTAAAGGTACAAACAAAGTTCACAACAGAAGGGCTTTGCTAACTCACCGTTCTCTGAAGCGAACCACTTCAAAGCAGGACTCTCTGGGGCCGAGACAGAAAGCAGCTTGTGGTTTTGTCTTTTTCGTTCTTGTTGTTCTTGTTGCGTCTTATCTCTTTTTGAAAGCCGTCGTTGATTTCCGTATTTCCGCATTGTTGTCAGTGATTTGTTGGTCATTTACTCACGTGGCATCACCACATCACATCACAGCGACACAGCTCCACATGGCACCCACACCTCATCGCATCCATCATCATTCATGGTCACTTCATTCGGGCTTGTCTCTCCACTGTGCTCACGTTAAGTTTGAAAGAGTCATGTATGAGTATTACCATGTAACAAAAGTGTAACTATGCAATGTAAAAAAATACCATAATGCATTGGTGTGTGTACTGTAGGGTCTTTCCCATGATGGAACCTGGTGAGCCTCCTTGTTGACACATGTAATGCATCTGTGTTCATGTGAAAAAAAACTGTTATCTTATCATGTTGCATGCTTTGGCTTGGCAGTGATCAGAACATAGCTCCCTGTCTTTCTGTGTGTGTGTGTGTGTGTGTGTGTGTGTGTGTGTGTGTGTGTGTGTGTGTGTGTGTGTGTGTGTGTGTGTGTGTGTGTGTGTGTGTGTGTGTGTGTGTGTGTGTGTGTGTGTGTGCCAGTGTGTCACTACTGTACACACAGCCTACATTAGATTACACACACCACAACAGCAGTGAAATCCATAGATTAACATAATCAATTTTAGGCTTTTTTGATTTTCCTCTTCAATCTCATATATCTGTATATGAATGGATAGAGAAAATGTCTGAGTTACAAGAATTCAAAGATTGTCAGACTTATATTGGGGGATAATAATACGCCCATGTTTCTGTAAATGCACGACTAAAGTTTCCACAATGTTTTGGAGGAAGTGAGCAGAAAGTAGAATGCTGTGGCCTGCAACATGAGCACTGTTGTATTAGTAGTTTACAGTTCGTTTAGAAATTGGAATGGTTTAAAGTTTGCCGAATTAGCTATTAGCCGTTCTTGTTTGCAATGTTACATTACATTACATTGCATTTAGCTGACGCTTTTATCCAAAGCGACTTACAATAAGTGCGTTCGACCAGGAAGATACAAACTTCAAGAAAACAGAATCATATAAGTACATCAGGTTTCATAGAGCCAAAACATTTCAATTGCTACTCAACTGGCTTTAGATAAGCCAGTCCATGTTCACATGGATGTATAGACAACTGTCGCTGGATTACTTTGAACACATTACAAATGTAATAAAACTCAGGCAAGTTATTGAGGTTTGGGTTAGGGTTACGGCCCGTCCACACTACAGCGTCGACAGCGTCGACAGCGTCGATAGCTTCAATCTGCCCATTCACTTTGAATGGGGTGACGTCACGTTGCCGCTTTTTTTCGCCGAACTGAATTGTGGGTAGCATAGCGGTCCGTCTCCGCCGTCTCCGGCGTAGCCAGCGCCAGCCAATCAAATCCCGTTTCGGAAAATCTGACAGATCAAGCCGTAGCCAATCAAACCGCGTCTAAGCTGGGAGAGATATCCCGCCGTTCATTTCTATATTTCAAAAAAAGATGGAGGAGAAACTATTTATCGCCGTAGCAAATCACCCGGTTTTGTATGACCAGACCCTCTTCACCTACCGGGATACAAACCGGAGGAACCAGACATGGAGGGAGGTGGCAGAGACAGTGGGTGAAACTGGTAGGTTTTCGCCTGTTTGGGGAGTTTATATATATATTGCTCCCATAAAATCCCCGGGGGTTTTTGCTTTGTATGTCGGGGGCGGGAGATTCATGTGATTGGTTGTTGGTCGCGTTGCTTGAATAAAATCCCCAAGCTTCAGACACGCCCAGCTCCAAGCTTTTTTTGAAGCTGTAGTGTGGACGCTCCGTTAGGGTTAGTTATATAAAGCGACTATTTTCTATGATTTCCAAGTGGTTTTATGGACATACATTCGCAATGGAAATCGGTCATCAGAAAGTCAAATCAACTCTAAATCAAGAAATGTGTATATGTATTGCAAGTATCTTGGTTTAACTAAGTTATAGCAATTTTGGACGCAAACTGCTGCAATTAAACTTTGCTAACACCCTACACGTAATTATTTTTCCTATCAAAGCGAGTGTATTCTGTCATCCTGAATGATTGAGGGGATCCGACCGCCAACAAACAAGGCCTGATTACCATATACAAAGGACAACTCATCGCCTCTTTGTGCACGGCCTCCACTTCAGGATGTAATGAAACCTTATTTCCCACGCTGAACCTGACAGACAAAGTGCAATCATTGATATTTCATTTGCGCCGCTCTTTCTGCTGAGAGTAATTCAAGCCTCTGAGTCACAGGGGTCAGCTCAGAAAAGGGCACCTGCCTGAGCCTCTACAAGAACTCATTGTAGTAAATTGAAGCAATGCTTGCTCTTGATTTGTACCTGTCCGCTCTGTGGAGCTTTATCTGATCAGTTAGGAAGCGTGAAACGACAGCTCACCCTCAGAATCACAATCAGAATCCCTTCTTTGCCCAAGTAAGATAACTAAGAATGCATACGTTATTAATAATACAAAAACACAAGTAGGACAAAAACAAATAGCAGATAAATGCATCATGGTAAAACAAGTTGCATGTATATGTATATATATATCTGCGTTTTTGAACAACATATCAAATTAAAGAGGTAGCCAGATTGTAGATACATTGGAATAAATAATAAAGCGTGAATTGCACGAGGGTATATTGCAGTTTTATATTTATAGGTAGGGTTATTGCACATCAGTGGTGTTACAATCTAACACGGTGTATGTAGGGCAGAACAAAGTTGGATGTTTTGAACTGAGAGGGTTTTGAGGACTCCACTGTCACATTTAATAAGGACCCTACGGAGGTCGGAAACTCACCCTGGTAGTCTGGTCACTCTTGCAAGTCTTTAAGGAGGCACCATAGGGATTAGGGACTATAGGGGGTTGAATTCAGGGTCACCAAGTCAGATATATAATCATTCATGGAAGGAGCTGATGGTGGGGATGGCCACTGCCTTTCAATTACGACTGTGAGCTATCTCCTGCTGCAGCGTGCTAACACTGCACACTGGAGTTGTTCCTCTTACAGCTCCATAGGGACCTCTGGTTATACTTTCTGCTTTGCAGCGAAACTGAGAACTGCTGCGGTGGACACGCAGGGACCAGAAACCTAATAAAGGGAAGGAAAGCATTATTAGAGTATTCTAGCATGGAGAATGGTACAGCAGTATAACTATAAACAAGGACACTCAAGCTGCAGGAAGATGTTACCTTCAAAATAGCTGCTGTGTGTTTTGTGTATTTTCAAGAGTCCACTTTTAAACCAAACTGAAGCTAACTGTGTACATAGAAAGGCTCATACTCATTCATAAATTGTCTGAATCTGACAGTCAGAGCTTCCGAGGATGAGGAAAACATCCCAAGAAACAGTATCTGTTTGCACTTGATACAACTTATGTTGCACAAATTGATGTTCACAGTTGGATGCCACAGTTTGAAGTTTACTCAAGGGTTTGGGA